GGCAGTATTTATAAATGCTAATCACAGGCTTGCCTTATGACGAACCGTTCTGGTCCTGGGATATAGCCAAGAGACAGGAGGGACATAGCAGCCTCCTTCATAATGGCCCCAAGTCGGCAGTACCAGTAGAACAAATAAACTGATATATCTGTACAATGGAATACAACTCAGCAATAAAAAGGAAAGAACTGACCCCTGCAGCAACACGGGTGAACCTCATGGACACAATGATGGGAAAGAAGCCAGACACAGAAGGGTCATACTATATGATTCATTTCCATGACGTTTAATTATGGGCAGCATGAATCGATGGTGACAGAGGTAAAAACAGTAGCTACCCTTCAGGTGGCTACTGGCTGGAAGGGGGATGAGGCGGCCTTTCAGGTGCTGGCCGCGTTCTGTACCTTCATCTGTGGGTGGTTTCAGGGCCATATACATATGTAAAAATTTACTAAGTTGTGCACTGCAGATTTCTTCATTTTAGTGTTGTATTATGGCTCAGTAAAAAATAAGTGTCCACAAAAGCAAGTCATTCTGATACACAAGCCAAGTCTACCTGAACTTGCTAGGTTTAAACCAACACCAGTCAGCACAGAGCCTCCTGGAAGCTTATGAAGAAAGTAGAGTTCTATCAAGAATTCTCCCACTGCTTCCTGTCTGTTTGTGTGAGCTCTGAAGGATCTGATGGTTGTAGGGGCTGTGGGTCTTGGAAAGCAGGCTTGGTGACAGCCGTCCATGCTGGTGGTTCTTGGAGGCGAGGTGTGGATGTGTGAGGACAACATCCAGACAGTGGACCCTCAGGGTGCGGTGCCTGCGGCACAGGCAGGCCTGGGGTGGGCTCTGCAGCGGTGCGGGATAGGGAGGTGGCTGAGACGGGACCTGAGGCGAGGGTGCAGGTCGGGAGCTCGGACAGGAGGGAACGGGGCATGCGCCTGGAAACGAGGACCCACGGCAGTGGTATGGGGTGAGGGCTTGCACACCGAGCTTAGATCCGCCACCACGACCTCCTCAAGCTCAACAAATCCAAAACCAAACTCACCCTCTTTCCTCTGGAAATGAGCTCTTCCTTCTGACTCATTCATTCTGGTTACTGGCAATTCCGTTCTCGTGATACTTGCATCTGACTGTGGGGGAATTCTCTTTGCTTCCCCTCTCCCTTATCAGAACAGCGTTTGAGCCTTTCCATTATGTCTACAGTCCATCTTGCATGTATTTATTCCCCTAGGACTTAGTCTTGTACAGGACACAATAACAACAGTATTTATATATGACTTGCCCTGTGCTGGGCACCATGCTACATACTTCACGTGTTTTGCTTTTAGGTATCTTGGCAAAAAATGAAAGCACAAAGCAGGTAAAACATATTTCCACGTTACAGGTAAGCAAACTGAGGTGTGGGAAAGTTAAAGAATTTGGCCAAGGCCTCAGAGCTGGCAGGCTATGGTTCTATGTGGCTTCGGCGATGGGTGTCCCTCTGCATGCCTGCAGGCCGCCCGGGTACAGCCTCAGGCTTCCTTAGGCAGAGTCCCTTTCCCAGGTGGGGCATTCAAATAATTAATGCTGGCATTACTTAGAGACCCTGATTGGACAGAACTTAGCAACGAGTTTATGACTAAAGAAGATGTGCTGTGATTGAGGGAGGTATACAGGCAATAGAGAATGAGCGATAGCAGTTAATTTCTAGCTGCCTCTAGGATGCTGTTGCCAGGGGACCACCCTCACAGGCTCTGACCCTGGTCTTGACCTTCTCCCCGACAGGGGCTTCTGCTTACAGTGCAGTCAGGTAGGGGGTAGGAGGAAAGGAACACAGGAAGTTCTGTTTAACACATGTCCAAATTTCAATTCTACTTGTGCCCTGGGAAATGTCACTGCATCTACCCAGGGCAGGGGGGACAGTATCAGGCATTCGTGTGCCCTTAGATGGGAAACCCTACAATGGTGTTGCAAAACAACTGTCACTCGCAGTCCCCAAATACCTGTGTTGGGCACTTGCTTCTGAACACTGCCCATACTTCCGTAATGAAGCTTTAGCCTGCCTGTGGCCTGTGGGTATCATAAAACCCAACTTGTAAATATTACCAGACACACGGATCAGCTGTCTGGAGGAGCTGATTCGTCCCCAGCAGAGATGTCAGCATGTAGCATGCATGCCGTCTGCAGAGCGCACCAGCAGATACACACCAGGCCCTTTCTGTCTCGTAAAGGGGCTGGGCAGGGCAGACCCTCGGGAGGAATTTTACAAACAGTTGGGTTGTTCCAGAACTGGAAAATGAAGCTCTTTCCAGCTCCCTCACACATGCACGTTAGAAAGTGCCCCTTAAAAACTTTCTCATAAAATTAAGAAAAAAAGAGACGTATGACTAATCTCAACTTTTATTTTTTGTTTTTAAATCACTGTCTTGATGAGAGGCCATCAGTATAGGTTAAGAGGGCAGATGCAATAGTGCCGGCTATACCTGGATTCAAATCCTGCCTCTGCCCTTTCACGAGCTGTGTGACTTTGTACAAGTTACTTAACCCCTCTGAGTCTATCGTTTGCCTCCCGGCTCCTCAGGGCTGGCTACCCACTCAGGCCTGGCTCTCAGTAGGTATCCTGTAAACGCCCCATCTCCTTCCTTTCCCTCTGCTGCAGGGCAGTGTTCTTGTATTCTTGCAAATCCCGGAGCTCCCAACCTTTTTTTCTTTCTCCAAGTTCAGTTCTCCACTTCATTTACTTCTCCTTACTTATCTCTTTCCAGTGTGTGTCATGGATATGAAAATATTTGTGAGAGGGAAGAGAGAAACAGAAAGAATTTAAGACAGATGGGTGGGACTACTTAGAAGTTAAGCCCTGGAAACATGGTACAAAGGGTATGAAGCTGATATGAAAGGTGTCAGGACAGCATCTGGGAAACTGATGGTGGGAGGTGAGGAAGCCACCAGAAGGGTGATCAAGACAGCTGACTGGGGAGGAGGCTGGGACTTGGTGGCCAGGACTGAGGGTGGCCACCGTGGCCCTGTTCCATGGCAGAGGCGTGCTGTCAGGGAAACCAGTGAGGAGCCCTCATACACCTTCCCCTGGGGCGCCGGTCCCCCAGGGCCATGGCCAGAGGACCGGACCCCACTCTGTGAACTAAACATTCAGCCCTGTCAACAGCACCTCCGCCAACATCCTCAGTTTCTGCCCTCTAGCCTTCTCGTTTGTGGATGGTTCAAGGTATGGACTTGTAGCCACAAATTCTGTGGAGTGCAGAGTCCGGGAGAAGGGGACAATCAAGCCCCGGACTGCCCCAGCGGCACCAGGACTCTATTCACGCAGGCAAGGATGCTTACACGATGGATTGCCGAGACCGACTCCAATCTCACCCCTTCCTAAATCAAATATTTATGTCCCCAAACCTTCACCTGCTCCCCTTCCTTCTGGGTCTGTGAGTTGGGATCTAATGGGTTTGCCTCAGGGTGAAATCTCACATTTAGGGCCAGGTCTCAGACCCCAGTGGCACTGCAGACCCTCTCAGCTCACCCAAACTCAAAATCATGTTTCTCGCTGGACTGCCAGTGCCAATCACAGCTGCCCATGTGCCCCTGATTAGGGATGTGGCCTCCGTCTGGCCCCACAGGAGTGTGCATGCACGCATGTGTGGGCATAACGTGTGGGCATACTCGCTGTGTGGGCCTTTGACTCCAGAACAGAACCGCCTGCCATGTGTTGGGGAAATTCAAATAGCCGAGCTGTCTGACCAACATGTAATCGAGCACTTGGACAGTATCTGCACCAGCCAGGGTCTCAGTTTAACCGTTTTCCTCATCACTCGAGAATGATAAAAGGAGGGAAGAACTGGCATGAAGTGACAGAATTTAGAAAGGATAGGAATTCCAAGGTGGCTATTACAAAATCCAGCAGAAAGCACTGCCCTGTAATACGTTCCAGGCACCGCTCAGCCCTGCTCAGAATGCCTAGGCTTGGTACAAACAACAGTCATGAAGGCCACCCACTTCCTTCAGATGTGAGCATTCTATTCTCCATGGGGAGCCCACACTCGACTGCAAACGGCACAGTCAGTTCCATACATTTACCTGTTGGCTCCTGTGTGCAGATCCAGGAAGATAAAAAATAACCCTGGGAATTCCCTCCCTGGCATCTGGTGCTCTAAAAGCACCCAAAAAGCTCCCCACCAGAGTGGCTGTTGGTTTGGGATGTATTTAATCTAGAGTCTAATTTCTACAAATCTGTGGAGGTGGGAGAATGGAGGGAGATGATTTAGGGGAGGTGGGGCTGCCTAGGAGACACCGTTATTTTCGGTCCTCCTTCTAGATGATTCCCCTTCTATTCTCTCTGCTCTGGACCCAGCAGGACTCATGAGCGGGCTCCCCTGACTGCTGGCTTCCTGCTGGGTTTGGCAGGATTTCTGGAGGAGGAGCTCAGGTATGAAGCCCCTGATCCACGCCTGGCCTCTGTTTGCCAAAGGTGGCCTCTGGTTCTTAGCTCCGGTGCCTGCCTCTTCCCTTCCCCACCGCCCTTCTAGTCTCGGGTCAGGCTCGGGGCTGTTGCTACCTCTGGGATATCACCTCCTGCCTCGTTAACTTTCCTAACTCTGCCATTGCCTTTATAAAGAACTCCTTTATTAAGGTCTCCAATGAGAGTACTTTCTCTGTTCTGCTGACACTTTGATGGAATGATGAGCCATTATTTGATTTCTCTTTTGGCCTTCCACAGCCCTTTCTCCAAAGGCAAAGCGTCCCAGGCCTGGACACTGTGAGGAGGGCAGCATGAGCCAGCAAGACCACATCAGTGGACACTCATTCACCAACAAGCAACATCTTGTCCATCTACTGGACCCATTACAGCCTCCCATCTGCAAAGCTGTCAGATTCTTGCCAGATTAAGAAGAAAACACTTGGCCAAACAATGCCATTTCAAATATTTTCTGGAGGAAGGGAAGGGAAGGGGAGAGGAGAGGTCCTGGAGTAGCGCCTATTCTTGAGGCTGGGTTCATGAGCCCTCCTATTTAAGTGCCCACCTTGTCGTGCTGTGTACTCATTGTCTTCGATCAATCTGGCCAGTCCAAAGTCGGCAATCTTGCATATGAGTCCGTTCCCCACCAGGATGTTTGCTGACCGCAGATCCCTATGGATATAATTCATGCGCTCGATGTAAGCCATTCCTGCAGCAACCTGTGGAAACCGAGGAACAGGACCCATTACCCCACGACTCATCATACTGACATGGCAGTAAACCCAAGGTAGGAACCGAGGGACCACGCGGCCTACCTGTGCGGCCATATCCACAAGATTTGGTAACTTCAGAGCTCTTCCTTCCCCATCTTTTAAGAAATCAAGTAAACTTCCTAGGAACAAAAATTAAAACCATTTTAGTTTACTTTGAAAGATAAAAATGCCTGACAGAGGGTTGGGTTTGGTTTTCTTATTAGAAGTAATGAAGTGATTGAATGAACAATGCCATCAATGAAGAAAAGATTTATACACACAAAAAAAAGAAGGTAGAAAAAACTCTGTGCATTTAAAGGCACCAGTTTTATATTTCAGAAACAAATTAATAGTGACTCCATTTCCAAGGAAAACAACAAAAATTTGATAAACCTACAAGAAATGGGATGCAATTCTCTGTGTCATAAAGAAGGACATATGAGGAGCTGACCACTTTAGCCTCATCTCCCATCAGCCCTGAATGAAGCAGTGACACAGGGAAAATGCCACCCTGGCCGAGCGGCTCCCCAGAGTGTGATCCTGGAGCCTGCAAGAAGAACATCCCTCAGGGAATCTGTTAGGAATGCACGCTCTCAGGCTCTACCTTAGAATCAGAACGAGAGACTCTGGAGGCGGGGAGCAGAAAGCTGCATTTTCAGAATAACCCTAAATGATTCTGATACATAGTAAAGTTTGAGAATCACTGGCCTCACTTACTTACAGATTTTTTTTTTAAATGTTTTATTTATTTCTAGGAGAGAGAGAGAGAGAGAGACAGCGTGAGCAGGGGAGGGTCAGAGGGAGAGGGAGTCACAGACTGAAACAGGCTCCAGGCTCTGATTTGGCAGTCAGCACAGAGCCCGACGCGGGGCTTTAACCCACGAACCGCGAGATCATGACCTAAGCGAAAGTCGGATGCTTAACCGACTAAGCCACCCAGGCGCCCCTCAGATTTTTAAATCAAGAAAAGAATATTTGAGGATTAGAGGGTGGGGCAGGTAGTTCCCCCTGTTAGATCATGGCCGACCAGGTCTTCAAGACCTCTGAAACAAAGCAGCTGAAGCTTCAGAGCCACTGTGGTAACGGCCTAGGGAGCTCAGACCAACCCCAGGGCTGAAACAATTGTGTGCAGAGGCTGGATGGAGGCTCCTGACGGTCAGAGGTGATTGTTTCCATGCTTTAATCGCAAAGCTATTTACCAAATAACCCTGGATACAAAGGACAAACAATCTGTCAGGGAAAAAAAATGTCCAAGTATATTTAAAAAGAAAGTATGTGGACGGGAAAAACGATACCGGTGTCCTCTGATGTACGATGCATTGCCTTTTAAGACTGGTTCTTGTTTGGTTTGTCTATTTTTCCAAAACAAGTGATCTCGGGCCTTATCCTTGGCAATATTGCTTTTATTAGAAAGACAGAGAGAGACAGAGGCAGAGAGAGAATGAGAATAAAATGCACTCTTTAAAAGTATGTCTTTCTTCGTCTGATGTTTAAGAAGAGAACTGGGAAAGAAAAGGTGCTGAGAAGATGGAGACTAAGCTGAGCCCTGAGACCAGTGTCCGATATTAGGTGTTTGGCCCTGAACAAGGAAATTTAGCACAAGCCATGGCATTCAGAATAACAGCAAATGATCACAGCCCTCCAGCTCATCTCCAGAATTAAATATGAATACTTTAATTATGGAGAGGAGCTGGGACTCCTGACATGTGCGATGTGCAAAAGGTGCTGCATTTCATAAGGATCCGGGTGGGGGGAGGGGGGCAAACTCAAGGTCATGGTCTGTTCTAAAAATGCTTTCATTAATGAGCACATGGTTTGCGCTTCCTGACAGGAATATGAGATTCATGCAGAAACTAGAAAAAAAGCAGGCAGGCATCTCCGTCTCCCTCCCCGAAATAACCCCCGTGGGTCAGCTGTGCGGTGGGGCCTGACCTTTATTCATGTACTCGGTGACAATGTAGATGGGCTCCTCGGACACCACAGCATACAGCTGGACCAGCTTGTCATGTTTCAACTTCTTCATGATCTGTGCCTCCTCCAGGAATGACTCGGGGGACATTGTGCCTGGTTTAAGAGTCTTTATGGCTACTTTTGTGTTTCCATTCCAGGTACCTGCACACATCCCACAATGTTAAGTCAAACCACGGATCCTCTTTTGATGGGAGAACACAAAAGCTTTTAAATCAATAGCTACTTGCATAAGGTTAGATTTTAACTTAGAAAAACTTAATATCCTTTTTTTGTTGAACGAAGACAAGTGAATGTAATAAGGACTCTGTCAAATATTTTCAACAGGAAAAATGAGTTGACTTATAGCTATGTTATGGTTTATAATCCTTTTAGCTTTTTCCTGATTTTGATATACGCCACTTTCCTTTACTGGCTCACCCCTGTGATTACAAATTGGTACCAAAAGCGCTGGATGCTTCTTTAACAAGGCTGAAAGTTCAAAGGCTAGAACAGGCCTGACAGTGATCCCTTAGATGGTAGAGTAAGCATGGAAGAAACTAGAATAAGTTCCATTTTATGAAGTGTGCCATTTAAAAAAAAAAACACGACAACACACTGAGGAAGGCTAGAAGTTACCTTTAGACTTTTCACTGTCTGCAGTGGGTGAGCTACTTGACAGAGACCTTGAACAGCTGATTATATAAGTAAGATTACAAGTACGCCAATGAGCACTGGCAAGAAGCTCATGGTCTACTTGCCCCATACTTCAACTAGGTAAGGACAATTCCTCAGGTCAGCCACAAGAACAATAGCTTCTGTCAGACTGAAAAAATTGAGCAGCAGCTAAGAGGGAGCAGAAATATTTAGGCTTAACAGGTAAAAAAGTCAAGTAGGTATAGAGACAGGCCTGGTTTATGGTCACTGGTTGCCTCAGCTGTAAAATATAGAAATAAAACTGGAGTATCTTTTGACTCTCTTTCAGCCGCAAAATTAAAAAAACAAAAACCCAGGTTCTATGTGTATTCCATTGTTAGTCCTATGACTTTGGGTTAAAACTGTAAGGGAAACAGAAAAATCTGCTAAGTTAGAGTATGCTTTTTCTGTTTGGAAAAGAGAGCTGGTTTAAATTATGATTCATTTTTATATTTAATATCATTGACTTCAGAATTAAACATTTCTGTAACCTTTTGTTACCCTGTTCAAAACATGGTTCATACAATTACAACATGCAACCTACAAAAATCTAACAGCGGCTTAAAGAATGGTTCATCCAAATCCTATAAAATACCTGACCACTAAATGGAAATGGAAAATCTGACAATGTGGAAGTGGTCTTTGCTATTTGAGTGCTATTAGCATCCCCAAATCTTAAATAGAGATTTTCCTGTCTAATAACAACCCAGTTACTCTCACCGGCATTCCACCCTGATCCTGAACTACCGCAACATAATGTTTTATGCTCAGTGGGCAACAGATTCTTAATAATGTGGCATAATGGCTGAAAGTTGGTAATTATAAAGTTTGCAAATAGAATTCTATAGAATGTCCAATTCTTCCCGACTGTATAAATGACTGAATTAAAATCCTCGGCACCTACAACTTCAATTATAAACTACACAGATGAGGGAGAGGAAGGCCACATAAAAAGATATTTTATAATACTTGAGTTAAAGTACAGAGAGAGACACAATAATGTGGACTCTGAAAAATGAGTGTACTTATAGTAGCTTATACACACACACCACATATGTGTGTATGTCTGAATGTCTATCTCTAACCTTGCATATCCACATCTATGTAGTACTTATTCTCTGTCTATCTCTAACCTTGCATATCCATATCTATGTAGTACTTATTCTCTGCCCAGCTCTGTTCCAAGTGCTTTTACTGTATTAAATCTTTTAATGCTGACCACCCCTACACACCTACAGCTACACCTAACAGCAGATATCTATCCATATTATTTTTAATTGAAACTAAGAAAGAAGGTGGGTTCCATAAGCACCAACATTGTCTCACTCACAGATGTCTTTGGGTGGCCATTCCATGAATTTTTTCCAAGCAAAGCTGCAAATGACCCCAAGGGTGTTATGAAAGCAGTGGGATGGGCCCAGTGCAGTCAGCCACATGAGTGACACGACAACCGAATTAGGAGATATTTGTGTGCCTACTGAGCATGTACTGCATGCAAGGACTCTTAAGTATATCGTACTACATAATCCTCAATCCTATGAAATAGGTATCATTCCAGTTTTACAGATGAGGAAACTGAGGCTCGAAGAGGTTAAATGAGCCCCTCGAACACAGTTAATCAGCTAGTAATGATTCAAACCCTGGCCCACTGAGCGTAAGAGCCTTTCCCTATAGTAACCCACCTATAGAATCTTACCTTCCTCTGTGTCAGGAAGAGGAAACAACAAATACTTATTGTATTGGTTTCTTCTTGTGTGCTTGTCTGCTTCACTAACCATATGAAGAAGTATAGGCGAGCATATCAAGGTGTCGCCGTATTCTCAAAATCTGGATGGCCTGTGTCTGTCTGGCTATCCAGGTTAAGTGTCTTGGTCCCAATGGCTGTGTGTGTGTGTTTTTGTTCACAACTGTCCTTTGAATTGGCCTTGAGAGGTAGCCAAAACGAAATGCGCCCTCTGCCTTACCAAGCCACACTTCAGCGAAACACCCCTGACCCAGCTTCTTCTCCAGAGACAATGAACCACGTGCAACTTCCCAAGCATCTTTAGCCAATCCAGAAGTTTGTGGGGTACAACTTGATGCAATCACAGTTAAGTTAAAACACAAACCATCAGCTTTCTCTATAGGAAAGGGAATTAATAAAGAAAACACAATCCTTATAATCCATTATCATGCATGCACTAGGAAAGATGGAAGGTGACTTGCCCTTTAGGGCGACAGAGTTCACTGGGCAAACATCTGCAGTTGGAATGGAAGGGCAAGGCATTTGCATGGGCTGGAACATTCCTTGCACTGCTTTCTGGCTTCTGAACTGAGATTCATATAATAGCATAATTTGAGCCATCTGCCAATCTTGACCACTATCTCTCTTCTAGAAATTGTGGAATCCCGAAATCAAAATCAAATGTATAATTCCCCACTATTAGTAATTTAAACCTTCTTCCTGGTCATAAAGTCTTTGTTTTCACCTTCCATCTTTGATGTTTGGGACTTCCCAAACGAGAAAGCTAGTAATAGAATAATTGAGTCTCAGCATACCCATCCATACTTCCCCAAACTGCCCATTTCCCAGTCTCTTGATCAACTGCAGGGATTCTCGAGGGATTTCCCAGACATCTTTGGTTTTGACAGACAGATCGGTAAGCCTTGGCATCCCTTTATGACAGGGAACTACGAGGCGGCAGCAGAGGCCTGCGGCTCTCTCTGACGGAGCGGGACAGCGGCAGGAGAGGGAGAGAAAAGCACAACACATGAAACAACATTTACAGTTGCACAAACCCAGAGAGCGTACAGTGTTGCTCACAACAGTGCTACGTCGGCGGAGAGTTGCGCACATCTTGGAAGATTAGACACCGCACATTGAAACATGGTCATTGGAGGTAGAACAGAGGACATTTTCAATGCGGACTGCTCCATGCCTCCAGCTATAGTATAGTCTACACATACACACCGGTACAGGTCTGACTTCTGGTTTCTAATACTCAGTAAGGAAGAAAGACACTTTCAGCAACTTGTGCTAATAGCTTGCCTCTGGAACCCTGAACATACCTCCGCTGATTTCAAAAGGTACATCTGGACTACCTAACGTCAGCATGCCTGTCCCTAACCCTCTCTAATGCCAAGGGTTTAGGGGCTTTCTTTGGTCTGAATATATTTTAAATTGCAACTTCAGTACGGGATTTTTCTATAGAATCTTAGCCTGTTATAAACTAGTAAGGCTGAAGATTATACCTGCAGGGGAAAAAAGAGGTCACACTTCTCTAGGGGTTTCTTTGGCATTTCAACTGCCTCTATTCTACCAGTCAGATGCTCTCGCTTCTTTGATATTTCCCATTAAAAATAAATCTTTCTAACAGTCTCCAATGTATAATTTAGAAATCTGGTTTCAAAGCAGAAAGACAGGAAACTGAAATCTGTACAAACTCAAGGATGGGAAAGAACTCTGTTTCTTATGAAAGAGACAAAGGAAAAAAATAGTTATCACTTATAGGTTATTTGGAATTGTTTTACTTTTGTCCTCTCTCTCTTTCTCTCTCTCTCTCTCTCCTTTTTAAAAAAAGAATATACCTTTTACACTTCAGCAGTGGTAAGGGGGAAATTGCCTAAATGTCAAGTGAAATATCTGTCAGGTCGGAAAAGGTCACAAGGAGCGAGGAATCAGGGCAGTGACAAAAGCTGTAGAAAGCCCGGCTTGTGCAGCAGACAGAGCCCCTGCCCTACCACTCCCCACTGGCGGCCCCCGGATCCAGGGAAATCGCATGTAGTGTTGTCTTTTCTCTAGCAACCAGCTCCAAGTTTCTTTTTATTCCTTTCTTCTTGGTAGAATCAGGGTCTGGGATGTTTAGGCAGGAAATTATTTATGTGTCAATATTTCAAAGGCATTTTATTGTATGAGAGAGAGGAAGGGGGAAGAGAAAAGCCAATATAAAAACAAATCTAACTCGAGATGGATTTTTTTTGAGATTAAAAAAAGTCTCTGCTCTTCATATCCCTTCTCTCCTTCCAGCTTTACGATGTTATTAAGGTGCCCTTTCCAACACAATATTTTCAAATGATCCAAACCCTGGGGATCCTGCTGATGTTTGCCTGAAATGAAATATATTTTGGCATTTGAAAAATCCTGACAAATGCAGGCATTCTGAGTGTATCACTTAAGTTCAGGGAGAGATTCTGCTCCATTTCTCCCAAATATTTCATTAGAATCCACATAAACTAGAGCTACCCAAGGCCCTAGCCAACGAGTGCTCTCAGTGTTGTTAATTTTCTCACGTTTTCATTAGTGCCTGGGATAAATCAATAGGCATTTCTTATTGTCATTTTCAAAAGACTGCTTTTTTATTTTGGGGGCTAAAAAATTATACACTTTTTTTTTTTTTTTTAAATGAATGCGCATAGAACAGTAGTTAAGGTCAAGTCATGTACTATTTTGGGGTTTTGTCACTGTCCTGAAGAACACACATATATAGGTCACAGAAAAAAATACTGGGTTTGATGGTTTAATACATATATATATCTGTCCATGGGTATCTATATAAAAATCCCCCTGTGTGTGTATGTTTACAGTGAGATATTCTTGCTAATCTTGGAAACAAAGTAATCATTTTAACATGTGTGTGTTTAATACCACATTCTTTACTAAAACATACCAATCGCACACCTAAACACCTAATAAGTACATATTTCTAGGAACACACTAACAGTGACATGTGGGTACAGAGACTGCCTCACTTAGTGTTCACAAGTTTAATTTAATACAATGGCTGTAACAGATCTAGGAGGTGCTGTGGGTCACAGAGTCTACATCTAGTTAGGAAATGGCAGTATTGGGGCGCCTGGGTGGCTTAGTCGGTTAAGCGTCCGACTTTCGCTTAGGTCATGATCTCGCGGTTCGTGGGTTCGAGCCCCGCGTCGGGCTCTGTGCTGACTGCCAGCTCAGAGCCTGGAGCCTGTTTCAGTCTGTGACTCCCTCTCTCTCTGACCCTCCCCTGCTCACGCTGTCTCTCTCTCTCTCCCCTAGAAATAAATAAAACATTAAAAAAAAAAAAAAGGAAATGGCAGTATTGGTAGATCGGTAGAACATGATAAATGGATTGCAAAATTCATCTGGTCATGAGAATGAAAAGCATGTGTGGCTATTCCTGTGAGAACTGGGGGGCCCCCTAAAGGATCCCCCACACACCCCGTGTGTTCACTCCCAGACACTGGTCTCTCTCCTGTCATGGTTTCTGATGACAGACTCCAGGGAAACAGGAAAAGATGACAACTTTTACAATTTAACCTACTGCTTTGTACTTGGGGAGCAAGAATGTTACTGAATTTTTTGACAAACATATGGAACTAATAATAACTAAGATAGAAAAACATCAATAGATCCTATTCAGCAAAGCCCCACTTTGAGTGGCTAGCAAAGAAAACTCACTGCTGACTTTGTACATGTTTGTATTCTGCCCCCCCCCCCCCAGTGCCTACCCACTTCCTCCAGTGTCCCAGAGAACACTTGTTAGTAGCAAGTTGGCATTAGGGTTACCTGAGTAATGTTGCACAAGCTGCTGAAGTGTTTCAAACTGGGCCCGGGTGGTAATATAGTATCCACCATTGTCAAGCTTGCGAATTTTATAATGTTTGACATGGTCTCCTTTCATATCATCCCAATCTCGGATCGACAGTGAATAGGCACCTGGTAAATATGCAAGGCATTAGCAGCTCCAATCATTTTGAGAGCTCATTCGCTTTTTAGGTCTCATCTACTTGAGTATTCTGATTAATAATCATCAAGAGGACATGCACGCACATGTGCGTGCGTGTACACAAACATGCTGTCTTCCACTCAGGAACAGAAGAAGAGGACACCTCTTTCCTGCAAATGTCAGAAGATGGTAGCAATCAAGTGGGTTTACTCTTGAGAATGAAAGCTTTCTGGATTTTTTCCTATAATACTCTCTTGGGTACGGTTACCTGCAGGTTGCCTAACATGGTATAGACCCAGCTCTCCTGAGGCTGGCTGAAGAAAAACAGCCGTGCAGGCTGGGGGTGCTCTCTTCGTCTTCCCTACCCATGGAGTGCCGCACAGGCAGGGCGGCACGTGCCACGGAAGTGGAAGGAACGTTCCTCTAGAAGGGAGCCTCCAGTTTCTGCTTCGCCACGCCTTCTCTGGAGCAGAGAACCATGCTGGTAGATCAAGCTAGAAAGCCCCTGCTGCCTTCCCTTGGCCCAGCTCCTCCTGTGGGCTCTAACGAGTGTTTCAGTAATAGAAGGGCAAGCGGTTGGAGGAAGAGCAGCCCTCAGTTGTGAAAAAATAAAAGGAATGCAAAAACTACCTGTAACTAAGGTTATGGGCACCTGAGGAACTAAGAGATTCAGAAAGTCATAATTCCAAAGAACGGCTGAAAATTCTATGATCTTGTGTGCCTGCAGGAGTGAAGCTGCCCAGCCCCTGTTTCGGGAGGAAGGGCTTTTGCTTTTGAGCCTCTGTAGTCCTTCCAGAGCTGCGTGCAGTTCTAGAGCCTGGAGGGAAAAACTGAAACTAGGACTCTGCTCGCAAGGCCCGGAGGGTATGTGCCATTGAAAAATCCTTGTACATCAGAGATAAGCCTTTCATCCCCTCTGACTAATCCACAGATTTGAATGACAACCAACTTCTTCAGCCCCTTATCTTACCTTTGGTGGTTTCACTCTCACGGATAAGAAAGGTACCTCTCGGGTTTCCAAAGGACAAAAGCTGTCGCTCAGCATCTTTTCGGCCAAGTTTTCCAAAGTACCACCTTTAAACGAGATCGAGGGAAGGGAACATATTGTAATGATCATTTATAAAAATGGACAAGCCACCCCTTTTCCCTCTGACTGCATCCTTAGTCTTCCTCTATATATTTTTTCCTAGTTTCATCTAGTTCCCTTTCAGTCTGTTCCTGATTCCATCCCTAATTTACCTCTACCACTCTTTTAAAAAAGAAAGTCAGATTTGAATGGTGGGTGATTTTCCTTCCCATCAGAGGTGACAAGCACTGGTTTGTATTAAAACTGCCACCTGCATTCACAAAAAGAGAAATCTAAGACCTTGTTTTGAAATAGCGACTGCAGGAGTCCCTTCCCACGCACATCTATGAGACCCTGGATTTCTGAGCATAATGACGCCCCCTGGGGAATAACAAAGCACAGCCTTAGTCTATACAAAGATCATTAATCAAGCATTAAAAAAAAAAGTCAGTCAGAATGGTAAAGAACAAAGACATGGTATTTTCAGTAACTTTGTACCTACAGCGACTCTAGAAAAAAATTGTCAAGACCACCCCTAATTTGAGATGGCTGCTGCCCTTGGATGTCGGTTGTGAGTCTCTTGCTGTCCAGCAGGGGTGAGGACTTAGGTAAGTGAAAGGATCTACCTAGCAGGGGTGAGGGGGTGAAAGGAGGTGGGGGTCTGCCCATGTGTGCTCTGGTGCAGCTGCGGGAACAGGTCACCGCGTCCGGTCAATGAGCACGTCCTGAAAAATGACTGGGTGTCGCTCACGCTTCCTGCTCTCTCCGGAGTAACACTCCAGTGCCAGGTAAGAAGGCACCGCCTCCAGTCACCTCGCAACCTCTGCTCTTCACCTTTTACCTTCCCCTGCACTCGCCAGCCCTAACCGCGGCCTGGCAGGTAGTTAAACGGCTCAGCACTAGGGGCTGCAAGAATCCAGGGTGGAATTCGGGAGCATTCATTTGGAATCTGTGCATAGAAACAATTTTAGAATATTTGACTGCGTGAGAATCCAGTTTCTAAAATGAAATTTTAATTCATTATACTTGAATATAGCTATTTTGTGTTCACTGTCAAATTCTTTTGTGAATGAAAGAGCTTCGCCGAAGATAAGAAAAGACACACTGCAAGTTAGCTCCTCAGTGACTTTTAAAGGCACCAGACTGTGCGACGGTCCTAACCTAGCACTAGATGGTATAAAGAGAATTACAACAATTATTTATGAGGAATGACTTTCTGGGTTTGCATCAATCACCCAATTAAAATGCAGTATAAACACGAGCAGTGGTGAAGAGAGAATGGTTAGAACAATGGATTGAACCAAAACAATAACATTTTAAGATAGGGCGAATGACTATGTAAAACCATATGCGTTATCTTTTTTAAAATGCTAATTTATTCTTTAAAAACAAAGTATTTTAAAAACTGACCATTATAAATAGAACTTAAATATACAGTGGGTAGGTTCCCAGTGAAATCAAAGTAATGCTACCTTTTAGTGGTATCTTTTATTCTGAAAGAACACAAAGATGTTTGCAAATCTGCCCTAAAATAAAAATTCAACACAAATTTCTTTATTCTTTGATGATAAAACACACTCACTAGGAGAAAAAAGGAGTGCAGAACCATTGGGTATTTGAGAGCGGGGAACAAAACAGATCTTCTTAGAGAAAATACAAAGGAATTAAAGGCAAGACAGTGATCCAATTGGGGATTTGGCTGGGCTGTGGAGTCTAATCTCCTTGCAGTGCTTAAACAAATCCAGGGCAAAATGCAATATCAGAGCCAAAGGCTGGACTTCCTGGCTGGCTTTTCTTGACTCCTTCGCTGGTAAGGCAAGACTACCAGAAGATGCAGGTCCCCAGGGTGTCAGGGAGGAGGACAGGTCCTCAAGTTTTAGAGTCATGGGCTCATTTTCTTTCCCTTAGTTCAGAAATGAGGGTCACCACACAAGCCACTCTGATAGCTCCCCCTTTTGGAAGTACCTATGAATCCCCACAGGTCATGAGGAGGATCAATGGCTATCCCTTCTAGAATCCCCTCTGCCTACTGACCAACTTCCAAAATTGGAACCAGTGAAATCCTCGGTCCAACTAACTGCTAGTTAGGATTTACCATCAAAGAAACCAACCAAGACCCCAACTCAAAGGAAAGCAGCATGTGAAATGCATCGCCAGAGGATTTCCAGAGTTGTGGAACATGTTGTATGTGAGATACTTCTACCTGGCGCACGGAAGGTAGGTCTTTCCAGTGCTCCTTTAATATTTCTGATTACACGGAGAAGGAAAATCTCGATCTGATCTTTAATAATTATTTTTTCCTTTTACCCCCCTTTCTCTTTCCCTCCTCACTCCCATTCTTCCTCCTTCCCCCCCACCCCCCCAAGCAGACTACAGGCTTAGAACCTTGGGTCTGCATTACTAATATGTGCCCTAGCCAGACTTCATCACATTTTTCAGGTTACTTTCCATCTATGGCAAGTAATGTTGCACTTTCATTTAGGGTTCTGATATAAAGTTCCCTTTCACAATAAGTATGTTTTTAGATGCAGGCATAAAGAAAAATATTAAGTTAATAACAGTACAAGTATTACATAGATATTGCAAAGCGCAGCATCACCATCTATGAATTTCTTCTCCCTCCTGCACAAGGTTAATGGCACTTTATTGTGACAACTAACTTTTAAAAGCAAGTAGATGAGTGAAGACAACAAAACAAAACCTACTCTTCTGCCTGGATAGAGTCAACTGGAGCCACATAATTGCTGGGAATGTAACCAGTCTCTCCAGTGGTCAAGGAGCGGGCTTCCCACCAATCTCCTTCCCTGCAGAGAACAAAGAGAAAAGGAAGTGAATGTGTTGACCATTTCAGTGTTCTGCAGTTCCACACTCAATCCTGTCAGCGTATAAGACTATCTCCTAGTCATTCCATTGCCTGATTTCTTCAAACCCCAAAGTAGCTCTTTGTAAAGGTTACATGGTTACGATCTGAGTCAACTCTGAGTTGAATCCAGTGCTGTCTCTCCTTTCTTATTTTATTTGCAAATTAACAACGTAGGACCCTGGCCATGAGAGAACTCTCTTGGGGTGGAAGGGCATTTTGAGTGGTTAAGTGTCCCCAACTCGGACAGAGGGGAAGGGAACCAGCCCCAGGCTACTTTAGAAAAACCCTGTAACAACAAAAAGAAAACGGTCATTACGTGAAGAGAAGAAAAGTATTATGGTAAACATTCACAATATATTCGTGTGTCCACCCGTCACATTGTACACCTTAAACTTATACAATGTTACGTGTTCATTACATCTCAGCAAAGCTAGAAGGATGAAGCATGCACTGATACTGCTAATTTAATTGTCTACTTCGTCTCACATCCAGAGGTAACCAGCATCCTTTGGTACTGCCGGAGAGAGGCAGACTGTTGGCTTTCGAGTCATTTTGTTAGCCGTTAAGAGATGCACCAAACAAGAAAAGAAAGACATTAGAGCTGCAGATCATCTGAGAAAGGAAGCCGGTCAGGAGGCCCAGGAAGGGATGAAAGCCCCCTCTGAACACCTGCCTTGCTTGTTCTCAAGCAAGTGGGTAGAATAAAGGCAATAAATAGGTTAAGGCTTGTTCAGAAATTTTCAACCTGAAGCTCTTTCATCAACTATTCACAGCGCTGACGGGAGTCTGGTGGGCAGGGGAGGAGGAGTGGGTGTAGCCCTGTGTGTACCAGTGCAGGGGGAGGGCAGAAACTGGCCAGGGAGCGGGGTTCTGAGTCTCACCATGCTGTACAGCTCCGTGTTCCCTGCGATCGCTGGTCTCAGTCAGGGGGTGGGGTGGGGGCTCCTGGAACTGCGGGTGGAAGGGTGTGAGAGTGGGGCTTATATAAGCACTACTCTCAGCTTAAAACACATGGGTCTGTCACGCGGTCAGAGCTCACGTGCTTGGACTCACAGCGCTGCATGTGTGACAGAGAGCAGGCGGAGCGTGCACCTTTGGACGCACACGCACGTGGGGCTGGGGTCCGGACATGGGACACGCACGGTGCCTACGGAACCCTGTGCCCGCCCTGCGGCCAGGGGCACGAGGGCTGGGGTGGGGCCGCCGTCCTTGAGCATACCCTTGAGCATACTCTCAGACTGCTCTTCAGCGGGCGCCCAGCGCCTCCTCTCCTTCCTGTTCTGGTCCTTGGAGGTAGCAAGAGGAACCCCAGGCCTATTTTTTCTCTTTCTTTTTTTTTAAAATCACTGTGGCTGGACTCTGTGTCATAGTCCTCAGTCAGGGAAGAAAGAGTGTTGGCCTTTGACCCTGGCCACCATCTTCCTTGGGGTGATGGGATTAGGTAGAGAATAACCAGCCTCTGTATTAACACAGCCTGACTCAAGAGCCCCATTCTCCAAAGACTGCCTCTCTGAGCAAGGTGACCGAGGGGCAACAACCCTGGACAGAATTAATAAAGCCTCAAATGGTGACAGGCCCACATGTGCTCTGGGCAGGGCCATGGGGGAATGTTTAGCAGCACAAGCAGCACAAGATAGCCCGTGAGAAAATGGGGGTGCTGCCAGAGGCTTTCCACCCTATTAAACAAATGTAAACAGATAAATCAACCAAAAGAGGAGATAACTGTGCTCATAGCTAGGAAGTCCTATTTATTTAATGTTTTTTTTTGACAGAGCGCACGCATGAAAGAGAGACAGAGAGGGAGAGAGACAGAGACAGACAGAGACAGAGAGAGACGGAGAGGAAAATCCACAGGGAAGGGGCAGAGAGACAAGGAGAGAGAGAATCCCAATCAGTACAGAGCCTTGATGTGGGGCTCAAACTCATGAACTGGGAGATCATGACCTGACCTGAAATCAAGAGTCAGGCGCTCAATTGACTAAGCCACCCAGGTGCCCTTAGGAAGTTCTTTATTAATAAATCTTAAATTTAGTTTATGTCCAGATTTTTCTTAGGAAATAAGTGACACATACTAAAGACTACGTGTATATCAACACCTGTGCGCCCACCACCCAACTTACGGGCTGGGTTTTTACCGACTGTGTGGTATTTACTCTGTGCTGCTCCCCAATTGCATTCTTCTCTGCCTTTTGGACTCAAATCATGAAATTAAAATGTTAATGTTTGAACAGTTTGTATTGGCTTCATTTCTGTGTCCTCTAAAAGAAATACACGCACTTGTTAAGTATATCATCTAGGAACATATGTGGAAGTTTATTTTTTTTCTTTGAACACATGCAAAAGAAATGGCTTTGGAGACTAAGACGGTGACAATGTTCACTGCTCTGAAACTCCACTAGATGGAGACATTTCATCATAAAAAAAAAAAACAATACCCACCATTCTTTCCACCTCCTCCTTTTTCTTTCTTTCTCTTTCTCCACCTCACAAACCCCACACCTGGGAAATGCTCCAAAATGGTAAAAAATTAAGAGCTGTCAGCAGAGGCTTATCTTTTATTGCAAGATAACCTTCACCAAGTTAGTTCTAATTGACTTAATTAAATTTTTTTTTTCCTTTTTACTTATTTGAGAAAGAGAGAGAGAGAGAGAAAGAGAGAAGGAAAGAGTATGTGTGTTCTTGAGCAGGAAATAGGTGCAGAGGGGGAGAGAAAGAGATAATCTTAAGCAGGTTCCACACTCTGTGCAGAGCCCGACTTGGGGCTCAATCCCATGGCTTGAGCCAAAATCAAGAGTCAGAGGCTCAACCGACTGGGCCACCCAGGAAACCCCAAATGACTTAAGAAGAAAGTCTAGTATCAATGTTGGGATACATGGAGATGTTACCTGGGGCAGGAAGCCAATACATTTTGCTACGGGCTGGGACAAGCCCAGTCTTATCCAGATGATCTGGGATTAATCAAGTATGGGTGACCCTTGCACAACATGAGTTTGAAGTGCACAAGTCCACTTATTTGCAGGTTTTTTTTTTTTTCAGTATAAACAGTACAGTAAATGTACTGTTTTCCATTTGATTTTCTTAATATTTTCTTTTATCTAGCTCACTATATTCTAAGAATAGAGTATATAATACATAAAACATACAAAACATGTGTTAATTGACTAAAGCTTCCAGTCAACAGTAGGCTATTAGAAGTTAAGTTTTGGGGGAGTCAAGGTTATATGCAGATTTTTAAAAAAATTTATTTTGGGGAGAGAGAGCAAGCATGTGTGCACGAGCAGGGGAGGGGCAGAGAGGCAGAAAGAGAGAATCCCAAGCAGGCTCTGCACTGTCAGCACAGAGAGCAATGTGGGGCTCAAACTCAGGAACCATGAGATTATAACCTTAGCTGAAATCAAGAGTGGGATGCTTAACAGACTAAGCCACCCAGGTGCTCCTCTATGCAGATTTTTGACCCCATGAAGTGGGGGGGAGGGGGGAGCTGATGTTCCTAATCCTTGCCTTGTTCAAGGGTCAACTACAATATCCATTTCAAAGCCAGCATCAAGTATCTCATTTTGGTGCTGGCACCTAATAGTTTAGAACAGATTAGAATCCAACTATGGGCTCATTCTAAAGTCATGTATCAGGAATTCATGATTTTCTCTTAAGTGACTCCATTAATCTCACAGGGATTTTCAGCTACTCATGAGAAAGACAGAATCCTTTCCTTTTTTTCTAGGCCATCTAGGGTCACTTTTTCCATCAGGGGAGATAGGAGATGACAAGGAAGCAGTGTTTTGTATAGTAAGCCTCACAGGTTTGCCCAGAAGAGGCTGGTACAGACTCAAAGCATCTATCAAAAAAATCTTTTGAGCAAATGAATAAATCATCTTTTTAATACACTACAAGTTCAATCCACCCATAGATAAATAATACTCTTCTTTTAAGTTTTTTATAAAGTTTATTTTGAGACAGAAAGAGGGAGAGTAAGGGAGAGAAAAAGAGAGAGAGAGAGAGAAAGTGGGGAAGAGGCAGAGAAGGGGAGAGAGCGACTCCCAAGCAGTCTCCTCACTGTCAGGGCAAAGCCTGACTCGGGGCTTGAACTCATAACCAGTGAGACCATGACCTGAGCTGAGATCGAGTCGGACGCTTAACTGACAGAGCCACCCAGGTGTCCCAATAAATTATACTCTTTACAAATCATTCCCTTGATTTAGGAAAACAGAATCTTTACTATACTACTTTTTATTTCTTGAATTACTGTGGGTAATTAACATTATTAAAGCTGCACTTAAAAACAAATCTGTTCTTACAGTTCAGTTATTTCATTAGTTCAGACTTGGTGACATTTTCTCACGTTACCTTGCTTTGTTTTTTTTTTATTTTTTTTTATTTTTTTTTTTTTTACAAATAGTTTATTGTCAAATTAGTTTCTACATAACACTCAGTGCTCATCCCCAAAGTGCCCTCCTCCATGCCCATCCCCCCCTCCCCCCCACATCCATCAGTCCTCAGTTTTTGTCAGCATTCAAGAGTCTCTCATGGTTTGCCTCTCTCCCTTTCCCCCACCATTTCCCCCCTTCTTCTCCCCCTTGTTCCTCCGTCAAGTTCCTCCTAATCCTCCTATACGTGCAAACATATGATATTTGTCCTTCTCTGCCTGACTTATTTCGCTCAGCATAACACCCTCAAGGTCCATCCATGTTGCGACACATGGCCAGATTTCATTGTTTCTCATT